TAAAATATTTTATTCATTATTAAAATATAAACCAACTTTTTGTTGCATTATTGTTCACTAGTGTATTTTTTAAAGCAGGGATTCATTGGTCATCACTACTGAAAATTAATGAACCCAGCAGTTAATCATTGAGGATCTGACTGAATAATTTTTTGATCTCCTTAAGTAGCCTTTTCTACTAACGCCATTTTCCACAAACTGCCTTTGTGTATGTCTGAGATACTAAAGCTGGCTATCAGTGGCTTTCAGCCATTTAGATTCCCTTCAAGATTGCAGTCACTGACATTTAGAACTCAAAGATCATCCCATCCTGGGTTCCCAGCCTGGGCATCCCGTTGGAGTCACCTGGGGACTGGGTCGCACCTGCAGAGATTCTGATTTAATTGGTGTGGGCTGTGACCTGGGCATTGGGATTTTTTAAAGCTCACCAGATCAGTCTAATATGCAGCAAAGCCTGAGAACCACTGACCTAGTTTGACCACCTCAATGTAAACGTGAAACAACTAAAGCCAAAAGAGCTTTTGACAACAGATTGGACATGAGATTCTGAGTGGCTCTTGATAACAGACAAGGCCTGACACTTCACGAAGCCTAGGCTAATTCCAGCAACTATTACTTAGTCCATTTTTGCACTTCCTGAATACACAGGTCACCCAGGGCTCTACCTGTGCTGTGTTTGGCCTCGGAGGTGTTGGCCTGTCTGTCGTCATGGGCTGTAAAGCAGCTGGAGCGGCCAGGATCATCGCTGTAGACATCAACAAGGGTAAATTTGCAAAGGCTAAAGAGTTGGGCGCCACTGAATGCATCAACCCTCAAGACTACGAGAAACCCATTCATGAGGTGATCACGGAAATGACCGATGGAGGTGTCGATTTTTCCTTTGAGGTCATTGGTCGGCTTGACACGCTGGTACGTACAATGATGTGTGGAAATTTCAGCTTCTGCAATCTGGAGTATGCTTTTAATTAGCGGAATATAAATATTGTGCATAAAGAATATTTTTTAAATAATGAATGGTAATTTTCCATCTCCTGTTTGTTACCTGGATTGTTTAATTTATTCTTGAGAAATCTTTCCTACTATCAGCTAAGCAAGCCTGCCTCAAGTAATATTTCCGTTTTAGAAAAGAAAACGGTTTGATTTTAATTGAACCATTACAGATTTACTTTATTAATTTTTAGTAAAAAAGTTGAAACTCAAGTAAATATAGCTAATATAAATTCTGTTCTCAAATTGTTGTTATTTTTCCTCCACATTCTTAACAAAAATGGCTTAACAATTCTTTACGTGCGTTAATGTATTCTAATTTTTTTACATATCATACTTTCCCTAAAAGGAATGAGCAATTTTAGGTCAAGAATTATTTCATTAGCTGAAAATGTGCCATAAGGAAAGTCACTGCTTTAATGCACCCTATATTTTGCCACAGGGAGAGCACAGTGCCTGGCACATATCTTGCATCCAAGATCGATATGTTGGACTGAATACTTTAAAAAGTCAACAATTTATCAGCCCCCAAATTTGAGAGATACATACCTATCTCATTTCACTGTTTATGGATTACATGAAATAATCCGTGGAAGATACTTAGCACACAGCCACCTGTCATACAGTAAGCTCTCAATAATGTCAGCCAGCATTATTATTATTGATATTGATACTATTTCCAATCTTGCGGTGCTTATGTCATCTTTGAAATGTACATCTTACTACTTTCAAATAAGTACAAATATCATCAGCTGAAATGGAAAACACATCTCCAGCTATATTTCACCCACACTGAATTCTCTAGAATCCTACTGAATAAGTCCACAGAGACCAACAAACCCCCTTTGTTGAGGTTCTCCAGGAAGTCCCAGAGTGTGGTGAAGGGGAGCAGCACCCTGAAAGTAAAACCCTTTGCAGCCTTGACCTGGGACAATACACTGTACAAGCATGAAGTTTCACTAGAATTCAACTTTCTCCAAGGCTGTAGTTTTCCTCCTTATGCTCTTTTTCTGTTGTTTTCCTCCATTTTTTCATGGGGAACTGAACTGCTACCTTATTTGAAGATACCAAATGCTGGATAGCCACATGTTCTGCAGATATCTGGTCTTCCAACTGCCATAATCCAAAATCAAAGGACTAATCATTATTTGCCTTGGGGGATCCTGTACGGTTATCTTACTACAGAACGTGTTCAAAAGGATGACTAGAGAGGGAAGACTTTCTGGACTGTCTTTTGAGGATCCAGAATAATAAGTGTAGTTTAAAATGAAAACAGTATGCATTTGAGGGAGGTAAAAAACAATGTTTAAAACATGTCCATTTTAGAAATGGACAGTAGAACAGGAATCCATCAAAAAGGCAAACCATCAAGTGGAAAAGAGACAAATTTTGATGATTTAATCATACCTTGTTCACCATCAAACCATCTGCTTCAATGTACCAGGTTCAAATCATCTACTTAAGAAATCAATAAAAAATGAATCAACCAGCTCTGTTGCTCCATAAATTAATATAACTATATTGGAGACAGGAACGTCTCAGGAGTTTTGCAGAGCTTTGCCCTGAAGGACTATGTGAATGTGTTAGTTTGCATATCGAAAGCTGTTTCACCTAAGGAGGGCATCTCTGAAAGATCAGTAGCAGGCTGTATCCCACAATGGCGCTGCAATTCTCAGACCTGGAGTTTGGACTTGATTTGAAAAGCAAAGCAGGGCTTCTAAGAGCCACAGGATGCCCGCCTGAGATGAAACAGCTTTCGATATGCAAATTAACACATTCACATATTCCTTGAGGGCAAAGCTCTGCAAAACTCCTGAGACGTTCCTGTCTCCAATATAGTTATATTAATTTATGGAGCAACACAGCTCAAAGATTGCCTGAGGCTCATGTAATGATGAAAGAGTACCCTTACTTAAGGAACCAGAATTTCCATATGTTCGTAATGATGTTTGCCTCCTTATTACTTTATACAAAAGTGGTAACTATACACAAATGCTTTCATCCATTCTTTCATTCAGAAAACATTTTCTGGGCATTTCCTAAATCCACAGCACTAACCTAGGCACAAAAAGGAATGAAGAACAAAAAGACATAATTTCTTCCCTCCGCACACTCACAATCTAGCTAAATCAATATGACATCATACTGTGCATCACAAGTAGAGACTATCAGAGAGTTCACTTTAAGGACACTAAGTGTTGATTTTATTCCAGATGGCTGCCCTGTTATGCTGCCATGAGGCATGTGGCACAAGCGTCGTTGTAGGGGTACCTCCAGGTTCTCAAACCCTCTCGATGAACCCTATACTGCTACTGTCTGGACGCACCTGGAAAGGAGGTGTTTTTGGAGGTATGTACTTAACGCTTAAAGGCCAAATTGTCATTAACCTCAGAATCTCTCCCCTTTTACAAGTGACAAGGCGAGGTTTTGGAAAGAAACGTGGTCAAAACTTAATCAAAACTCCTATTGCATCTGTAGGCTCCAAATCAACTAGATGTGGAATGAAGGAAGACAGAAGGTCCCAAGACAGAATTTTCTAGTGTCCCCATAAACTAACTAGGACCCCTTTTATACTAGTGATGGCATAAGACACCAAAGTTCTAATAGGACACAGAAAGTCTGTGGGACACATTAATCTATAATTCATGTCTACACTCATTG